CTCCTCCGCTATAACACACTTTTGTTTTCATGTTTATTATTCGCTAATTATGAATAAAAGATAACAAGTTTTCCCAAATTTCAACTAGACCGATTCATGTAACGTGGCGTCTGTTGGGTGAGTCGCACGATTTATGACTTTAACGGCTCCTAAGAGCCGTGAAAAAGACTGCTCTTTCGGTTGTCTATCCATCTCTAAATCCGGATGTAATATAGACACATACATCATCATATGTTTACCCCTTCTCCCACCCCTCGGAACTTCCAAAGTTATAAAAGACGGTGTCGTGTGAGTTGGAGTGACCATATATATTATATATATGGATGCATATGATGATATGAGAATCCAATTTGGAAGTTGACCCGTTACACCGTTAAAAGGACCAAAACCACCAGTGAGAGTCTGGTGAAATTGCGAGTGCTGCGTCGTGTCGACCACATTTCTCGTATCTGTTCCTTGCCAAGGTTCGCTCTCTCATCTCATCTCTTTCTTCCACTTTCTCTCGATTCTTCTCCTTTCCTCTATTTCTCCCACCACTCATAACCACTGTACTTTCTCTTCCTTTCCGCGTATAAGAAAAAAACCCTAGCTTGTTCCCCAATTCTTCGCTTCGGCTGCTTCCTCTCTTCCTTTCCGCTCTGCCCTTTCCAATTCGTCATCTGGGCATCCATCTCCTGTTCGATTCGGGTTTTTTGCTCCTGGGGTTTTCCAAATTTACGATCTTTTTCTCTTTTTGACTTCCGTTTAACCATTGGTTCCCTATTATTCAGATACAAGTAGCGCGGAATTTAACTATCCAATTTTCTCCGACATAAACCACAAAGAAGAAGAAGAATTGAGAGAAAAAGAGAAAAGATGGCGTCTGGCGGCGGAGAGGCGGAGAAAGTAGGAGAAATCGGGTCCGAGCCGAAACCGAAAGCGTCGGATTTAAGGAACAAGAGCGCCGGAGAACAATACTTCAGGGCGGATACGCTGGATTTCAAGAAGTGGGATTTGCAGTTGGAGCAGCAGCACCAGACCTCCGGCGTCGCCTGGTCCGATGAGAAGGAACCCTCAGCGCCCGGGACGCAAGAATGGGAGATTGACTTGTCCAAGCTCCACATTAAGCACGTCCTCGCTCACGGCACTTATGGCACCGTCTATCGCGGTGTCTACGACGGCCGAGACGTCGCAGGTACGCTGACCCGCCCAGATCATCCATAGCATCTGCTATTTTTAGGAAAATTGGATATCCATGGATAATCAAACATGATATTGCCGGAGATTTTTTGTTATTGGTCTCGACCTTCCGCTTTTATATGTATACAATACGGAATTCTTACATTCCGATTTGAAAGAAAAAAAATGCAGTGAAGGTGTTGGACTGGGGAGAGGACGGTTTCGCCACGGCTGCTGAAACTGCCGCCCTCAGGGCCTCATTCAAACAAGAAGTTGCTGTTTGGCATAAGCTTGACCATCCCAATGTCACAAAGGTACTCGCTTTTCCATCTGTTATCAACTCTATTTTTGCATCTTGGCCAATGTCATTTACTTTGTTTAAAGTTCATCGGAGCTTCAATGGGAACCTCCAATCTGAAGATCCCTTCTAGCGGCCGCGAGCATCCGCTTCCATCGAGGGCCTGTTGTGTTGTTGTGGAATATGTCCCCGGTGGCACGTTGAAGAAGTTCTTGATCAGGAACTACAGGAAGAAACTCCCCATCAAAGTTTTGATGCAGCTTGCTCTGGATCTTGCTAGAGGGTAACTGCAATATCTCTTCCTTCTCTTTCTTCTTCAAAGCATTCTAAATTTTGAAACTTACAAATGCCAAAATAGATTAACATTGACAATGTGATCTCTCATGTCCTTCAGCCTGAGTTATCTTCATTCCAAAAAGATCGTACATAGGGACGTGAAGACGGAGAACATGTTGTTAGATACCAACAGGACACTGAAGATTGCTGATTTTGGCGTTGCTCGAGTTGAAGCTCAGAATCCCAAAGACATGACCGGAGAAACTGGAACCCTCGGGTACATGGCCCCAGAAGTAGGCGACTCTGTTTTTTTTATACATAATTTAAAGAGCTGAGATTTAACATCTGGAGCAGGCAGGCTCTTGGATCATAAAGTTTGTGTCTTTGTTATGATGTTGTGTGTAAAGAAAGTGGGTCTTTGTTCGCTGAAAGGTGCTGGACGGGAAGCCTTACAACAGGAAATGCGATGTATACAGCTTTGGGATATGCATGTGGGAAATATACTGTTGTGACATGCCATTCGCTGACTGGAGCTTTGCGGAGCTTTCTCACGCGGTTGTTCATCAGGTTGGTTCATCTCCCCTCTCATGTAAAGAATTTGACCCTCTTTTGGATCTGAAGAAACCCTCCTTTTGTACGTGCCAAGAATGTGAGACCGGAGATTCCAAGGTGTTGTCCGAATGCGGTGGGGAGCATAATGAAGAAATGCTGGGACCCGAGTCCAGACAAGCGGCCGGAGATGGAGGAGGTGGTGGGGCTCCTTGAGGCGGTGGACACCAGCAAAGGGGGCGGCATGATACCTCCCGACCAGTTTCATGGCTGTGCCTGTTTCTTCAAGCCTCGTGGCCCCTGATCCAGATTCATCGCCTGCTTTGATATATGTATGCTTTTAAGGTTGCCGTGTTGTTGTTCCGTCTGTATTTCCCGTGACCGTGAGAGTATTGTTAATGTTACGATTGTACATCCGTCTGTGTATAGTGGTAACAGGTTTTGTGCTTTTCTTTTCAACAAGAGAGTTGGAGCAAAAATGCCTCTACGGTGTAATGCCGTCTTCTTTCTAGCTCCTCAGATCTCGCTTCCTGTCTGTGCGTAATGCCGAAGCCGTGGGCTTTTCACTCCTTCAAGCACAAGAACAAGAACTGTTACTGAACTGGAACTGATTAAAACTTACAGAGGATGTCAGATCATCAGAAGTTAGAACCTTAGCAAGTCCAAAGTCACCTAAGCCAGATGCGGTGCATGTTAATAATTTTCTCCACGAAACTTCGATATCGACACATTACAGAAACAAACCTATCTAGGAACTTACCAAGCCGTATGTCTTGATCTTTTGTCAAGAATATGTTAGAACACTGAAAAAGATAGTAAGACACTGTCAACCAAACATGTGGCCTAAAGAGGTCTCAGACAAAGACTTGAGCTCTAGGTATTTGAGGTTATATACTGTACCTTGACATCACGGTGAAGGATATGATTGGAATGCAGATAATCGAGTGCCATTAAGAGTTGTACAAGCCATTTGCAGAGTTTCTGCGTGTGACGTTCAATGATAAGTTTAGGCCAAATGGCTGTAGCCCAGTCAAGCATTGAGTTCGATCGAGCATGAAATGAATTACCCAGAGCAAATTCTGTTGGATCCCTATCGAAAAGCATCATTAGATCATGTTCTAACTGATATTATTTGATAGTGGTGATTCATAAGGTAGATCCGTCGTTCTTCACCAGCATGCCGTTTTAAACACTGGGGGATCAACCGCGTCTCCATTTCATATTTACACAAGAGAAATGCAGGGCAAAGCAAACAAGGCGTTTGTTGCTTGAATTACACGGCAGCTTCTTTGAAGCTCTTGGTCAACCAGATGGCAGTCTCCCTCGGAGAAACCCTCTCCGGTCCAAAGGGTTTAAGAAGAACACCGAGCTCTTCATACCTTTCTTGCTGCAGAAGCCTAGCGCTGAACTCCAGCAATCCCTCGAGAGCCTCTGCCCGCTGCTGATATGAAGATGTGTCGAACCTCCTCTGCCTTGGCTCAGAACTCGACCTTATCTGCACCATACACTTGTCCTCTGTGATTGAACGGTCAGTAGGAGGAGACGAAGCTTGTTGTCTTGGGGTTATCTCGTTGATGGGGAAGAGATCTTCCGGGAACTCAGCCATCTTATCGATTCTTGGGGCATTCACGGAAACGTCTGGAGAATTAAGACCGCATAGACGGGTGAGACTTGACTCGTAAGTGGGTTCGGTGACTAATGGAAGAGATGCTCTCCTCCTCCTGTTATGCCAAGATTTTCTTGATGGAGTGTTTGACACCTTCACCTGCAAGCAACAGTATCAGCGTAAACATAGCACTCTTTCTGTGGTGTAATGATGGATGGGATTTCAAGGCTGCTACTCTGACTTACCAGTTCATGTTTCAAAACAGTACGAGGTGTGGATAATGGGATTTCGAGTTTCCTTGGAGTGCCAGATGCTTTTGTTGTGGCAGAATTTACTCTCGGCGTTCTGTCCTTCACCGCCGGCTTATCAGCCACAGACTCTTCATGGACTGTTCCAACAGTTATTTGGGAGGCTTTTCTAGCGTGAGATATCGGTGAATGAGATGTTATTTCTGAAGAAGACCCGGAACGCGTCTCTGTTTCAGAGAAGGTTGGTTTCAAATGTGTGTCGTTGCTGAAGGAACGCCTCCTTCTGTTGACCCCAATGGCGGTATCAGGCCACTGGAGAGGAAAAGTGCTTCGTCTGGGGCTATGTAACTTGAGATGAATCATACTGATGTAAGGTTGAAGATGAGGATGATTTAGCAACACGGCAGCCTGTCATATATATATATATACACCACAGTCTTGTAAGAAAGATAATGGTTTTTATTCTGGACTTCACCAACGCATCTCAGTTCAAACACAGACAAGCATCAAGAAAACATACGCTTGGCCTGAGTTCAGGGTTTTTCCTCAGCATGCTCTTAAGGAGACCTCGGCTGAATATAACCACAGGAAAAAAAATTGAGTTGAACAGAGAGCTCGGGAACGATTAACGTAATAGAAGAGAATGACTTACAATGCACCGGAATACATGGCAGGAATAGGATCCATCATCGACTTGTTTATTTTGCTAACCAATGTCTGCACATCCTGCAAGTTAAAAAATATAGTTACTAGAATTTTGGGTATTATGTTGTGTTTTCTTGGTTTATGTTATGATGAACAAAACCCAAAAAAAAATAAATATATGAACCAATATATTAGAAGGTATCATTTCAATTGGTACAAAGTTCTCTCATCCATGATGCTGAAATAGAATGCCATAATCAAGTATTGACTCAACTGGCAATTCCAAAATTACATCCATAATTTCTGAAACATTTGATATTTTCACAATTGGCCAAAATGAGATGAGTTATTAGCAACTTACAGAGGCTCTGAATGCTGGTTTATGAGCAGCCATCTCATACATGCAGCATCCTGCTCATTAAAGGATCTCAAAAGCTTTATCACAAGCTGAAAATCCGCAGTGCAATAAGAAAAAATCTATGAATTCCAGGAACCATATTTTACCGAGAGACCAAATGTCTGACTTTGATCCATAGGGTATGTCAGCAAGAAGCTCGGGGCACATGTAACTGGGAGTCCCCACAATCTGCAAACACAGAGAGTCATCATAACCGAGTATAAGCACAAGAACAAGAACTGTTACTGAACTGGAACTGATTAAAACTTACAGAGGATGTCAGATCATCAGAAGTTAGAACCTTAGCAAGTCCAAAGTCACCTAAGCCAGATGCGGTGCATGTTAATAATTTTCTCCACGAAACTTCGATATCGACACATTACAGAAACAAACCTATCTAGGAACTTACCAAGCCGTATGTCTTGATCTTTTGTCAAGAATATGTTAGAACACTGAAAAAGATAGTAAGACACTGTCAACCAAACATGTGGCCTAAAGAGGTCTCAGACAAAGACTTGAGCTCTAGGTATTTGAGGTTATATACTGTACCTTGACATCACGGTGAAGGATATGATTGGAATGCAGATAATCGAGTGCCATTAAGAGTTGTACAAGCCATTTGCAGAGTTTCTGCGTGTGACGTTCAATGATAAGTTTAGGCCAAATGGCTGTAGCCCAGTCAAGCATTGAGTTCGATCGAGCATGAAATGAATTACCCAGAGCAAATTCTGTTGGATCCCTATCGAAAAGCATCATTAGATCATGTTCTAACTGATATTATTTGATAGTGGTGATTCATAAGGTAGATCCGTCGTTCTTCACCAGCATGCCGTTTTAAACACTGGGGGATCAACCGCGTCTCCATTTCATATTTACACAAGAGAAATGCAGGGCAAAGCAAACAAGGCGTTTGTTGCTTGAATTACACGGCAGCTTCTTTGAAGCTCTTGGTCAACCAGATGGCAGTCTCCCTCGGAGAAACCCTCTCCGGTCCAAAGGGTTTAAGAAGAACACCGAGCTCTTCATACCTTTCTTGCTGCAGAAGCCTAGCGCTGAACTCCAGCAATCCCTCGAGAGCCTCTGCCCGCTGCTGATATGAAGATGTGTCGAACCTCCTCTGCCTTGGCTCAGAACTCGACCTTATCTGCACCATACACTTGTCCTCTGTGATTGAACGGTCAGTAGGAGGAGACGAAGCTTGTTGTCTTGGGGTTATCTCGTTGATGGGGAAGAGATCTTCCGGGAACTCAGCCATCTTATCGATTCTTGGGGCATTCACGGAAACGTCTGGAGAATTAAGACCGCATAGACGGGTGAGACTTGACTCGTAAGTGGGTTCGGTGACTAATGGAAGAGATGCTCTCCTCCTCCTGTTATGCCAAGATTTTCTTGATGGAGTGTTTGACACCTTCACCTGCAAGCAACAGTATCAGCGTAAACATAGCACTCTTTCTGTGGTGTAATGATGGATGGGATTTCAAGGCTGCTACTCTGACTTACCAGTTCATGTTTCAAAACAGTACGAGGTGTGGATAATGGGATTTCGAGTTTCCTTGGAGTGCCAGATGCTTTTGTTGTGGCAGAATTTACTCTCGGCGTTCTGTCCTTCACCGCCGGCTTATCAGCCACAGACTCTTCATGGACTGTTCCAACAGTTATTTGGGAGGCTTTTCTAGCGTGAGATATCGGTGAATGAGATGTTATTTCTGAAGAAGACCCGGAACGCGTCTCTGTTTCAGAGAAGGTTGGTTTCAAATGTGTGTCGTTGCTGAAGGAACGCCTCCTTCTGTTGACCCCAATGGCGGTATCAGGCCACTGGAGAGGAAAAGTGCTTCGTCTGGGGCTATGTAACTTGAGATGAATCATACTGATGTAAGGTTGAAGATGAGGATGATTTAGCAACACGGCAGCCTGTCATATATATATATATACACCACAGTCTTGTAAGAAAGATAATGGTTTTTATTCTGGACTTCACCAACGCATCTCAGTTCAAACACAGACAAGCATCAAGAAAACATACGCTTGGCCTGAGTTCAGGGTTTTTCCTCAGCATGCTCTTAAGGAGACCTCGGCTGAATATAACCACAGGAAAAAAAATTGAGTTGAACAGAGAGCTCGGGAACGATTAACGTAATAGAAGAGAATGACTTACAATGCACCGGAATACATGGCAGGAATAGGATCCATCATCGACTTGTTTATTTTGCTAACCAATGTCTGCACATCCTGCAAGTTAAAAAATATAGTTACTAGAATTTTGGGTATTATGTTGTGTTTTCTTGGTTTATGTTATGATGAACAAAACCCAAAAAAAAATAAATATATGAACCAATATATTAGAAGGTATCATTTCAATTGGTACAAAGTTCTCTCATCCATGATGCTGAAATAGAATGCCATAATCAAGTATTGACTCAACTGGCAATTCCAAAATTACATCCATAATTTCTGAAACATTTGATATTTTCACAATTGGCCAAAATGAGATGAGTTATTAGCAACTTACAGAGGCTCTGAATGCTGGTTTATGAGCAGCCATCTCATACATGCAGCATCCTGCTCATTAAAGGATCTCAAAAGCTTTATCACAAGCTGAAAATCCGCAGTGCAATAAGAAAAAATCTATGAATTCCAGGAACCATATTTTACCGAGAGACCAAATGTCTGACTTTGATCCATAGGGTATGTCAGCAAGAAGCTCGGGGCACATGTAACTGGGAGTCCCCACAATCTGCAAACACAGAGAGTCATCATAACCGAGTATAAGCACAAGAACAAGAACTGTTACTGAACTGGAACTGATTAAAACTTACAGAGGATGTCAGATCATCAGAAGTTAGAACCTTAGCAAGTCCAAAGTCACCTAAGCCAGATGCGGTGCATGTTAATAATTTTCTCCACGAAACTTCGATATCGACACATTACAGAAACAAACCTATCTAGGAACTTACCAAGCCGTATGTCTTGATCTTTTGTCAAGAATATGTTAGAACACTGAAAAAGATAGTAAGACACTGTCAACCAAACATGTGGCCTAAAGAGGTCTCAGACAAAGACTTGAGCTCTAGGTATTTGAGGTTATATACTGTACCTTGACATCACGGTGAAGGATATGATTGGAATGCAGATAATCGAGTGCCATTAAGAGTTGTACAAGCCATTTGCAGAGTTTCTGCGTGTGACGTTCAATGATAAGTTTAGGCCAAATGGCTGTAGCCCAGTCAAGCATTGAGTTCGATCGAGCATGAAATGAATTACCCAGAGCAAATTCTGTTGACTGAAATGGTAAAAGCCTATGTGTACCCAATGGCTATCTATGCATCATATACAGTCTACACTGACCATCTTATACTATCTCCTGAAGAAACCAATACTCAAACCAACAAAACTCAGTTGAGTTGATCATTTTAAAATTTTTGAGAGATACCTCTTCAGGAAAATAGACTCCGCAGGCTCTTTTTATGGCTTCTGTCCTGCAAGATTAAACTTGGTTAACACAACAGAGGCTGTCAAACTCAAACGCCAAAAGGAAACGTCTTACATGTCTCCGCCTTCGCAGTATCCAATAACAATGCACACACAGGAACCCTGCACAAAGCAGCCAAGCACAAACAAAGTAAGAAAGTTGATCTCAGAAAATACTGCGAGTCCATGTAGGGGGGAGAACATCAGACCAGACCTTTTCCACCCATGAATCTTTGTACTCTACTATAAACGGATTGCAAACTCTAGAAATGAGCTCCATCTGAAACAGAATACAAATGAATCCAGGAAACTACGTCTTAAACAGAGATTAAATTTGACAATCTGATATTAAACTAAGGCTCCTGTTGTAAACCCTGCTTGGTAAATAACTGTTTTACACATTAACATAATTTACCTTTAACAAAAAAAAAAAACTTTACAATCTAAGACCAACACACCAACCTCCTGATGAGCAGAACGGCGAGCCCTATCAGACTGGCGAGCCAGACGAATCTTTTTCAAGACGTATCTGTAAGAGAGAGAGAGAGAGAACAACAATCAGTAAGATGCAATCCCAGGAGACAAATGCATAGTTAACGCAGTGTACTCACTTCTTTCGTTCATGTTTGTGTCGGACGAGAAGAGCAGAACCGAAGGACCCTTTCCCAATCTGCTCCAGAACTTCGTACCGCTCCATAGAAACTTGATCCCACAGGCAACAGCTCTAGGAAAAAACTCGAAACAGACAGAGACCATGAAAGTTTCCGACAAGAAGAGTACACAGACGCACGCACGACAATTTGAAAAGGAGGATTAGAAGGAAATACAACAGGATCCAAGGGGAGTGCGAGAGAGGGCGCAAAATCCAATCACGGTCACGTCATGCACCAAATTTTACACAAATCTCTAACCGTAGCTATCGAGAAGATTTTATTTCGCTTTCAACAAACAGTGATCATAAAAGTGGGAACCAGCTCCCGTAATCAAACAGAAGGCTTTTTTTTATAAAAAAAAAAAAAAAAAAAAAAAAAAAAAAAAAAAAAAAAAAAAAAAAAAAAAAAAAAAAAACTGGGAGTGGGGGCGTTCAATCTTACCGACACCGTGGATGATCAGAGAATACGCAAAAAAATGAAAACTTTAATCGAGGGAAAGAATAAACAAATTTGTAAAGGGAAAGGAAAAGAGAAGAACCTTGGTGAAGTGACCGAAAGGAAAGAGGAGAGCGGCAAAAGCACAGTTCCGCTTCGACCTTCCACCCTCCCTCTCCCTTTTTGAATTTCAAACTCTCCATTGGAAATTGGTTCATTTGAGGGGAAAAAATCTTTGTTTTTCTTTTTCTCTTTTCCTTTTAAAAATAAAAAATCTTTGTTTTCCTTGTGCATTTGTCTATTTGATTAATGTATGAATCTGTTTGAAATTGGGAAATCAGGGCGTGTTCAATTAGAGATAGTTGAATAAGGGTGTGTTAAGGAAATCCGAAATTGATATTATATAGATTAGTTTGCAATTAATTAAATAAAGGGGAGGGGCCCAGAAAGATGTGGGGGACCAAGGTGGGCCCAGTGGGTAATCTCGTGAAACATCTTATCCGCAACGTTCAAACTCTTTTATGGAATGGAATTATTAAAATATGAGCCCAATCTGAGATGGGTTCGCATAGGTTTGGGCCTATTCATAGTGAGTGTCATCTTCTTTTTATTCGTCGGCGGGTTCGTGTGGAAACAGCTCCATTGTCCTCCTCCGCTATAACACACTTTTGTTTTCATGTTTATTATTCGCTAATTATGAATAAAAGATAACAAGTTTTCCCAAATTTCAACTAGACCGATTCATGTAACGTGGCGTCTGTTGGGTGAGTCGCACGATTTATGACTTTAACGGCTCCTAAGAGCCGTGAAAAAGACTGCTCTTTCGGTTGTCTATCCATCTCTAAATCCGGATGTAATATAGACACATACATCATCATATGTTTACCCCTTCTCCCACCCCTCGGAACTTCCAAAGTTATAAAAGACGGTGTCGTGTGAGTTGGAGTGACCATATATATTATATATATGGATGCATATGATGATATGAGAATCCAATTTGGAAGTTGACCCGTTACACCGTTAAAAGGACCAAAACCACCAGTGAGAGTCTGGTGAAATTGCGAGTGCTGCGTCGTGTCGACCACATTTCTCGTATCTGTTCCTTGCCAAGGTTCGCTCTCTCATCTCATCTCTTTCTTCCACTTTCTCTCGATTCTTCTCCTTTCCTCTATTTCTCCCACCACTCATAACCACTGTACTTTCTCTTCCTTTCCGCGTATAAGAAAAAAACCCTAGCTTGTTCCCCAATTCTTCGCTTCGGCTGCTTCCTCTCTTCCTTTCCGCTCTGCCCTTTCCAATTCGTCATCTGGGCATCCATCTCCTGTTCGATTCGGGTTTTTTGCTCCTGGGGTTTTCCAAATTTACGATCTTTTTCTCTTTTTGACTTCCGTTTAACCATTGGTTCCCTATTATTCAGATACAAGTAGCGCGGAATTTAACTATCCAATTTTCTCCGACATAAACCACAAAGAAGAAGAAGAATTGAGAGAAAAAGAGAAAAGATGGCGTCTGGCGGCGGAGAGGCGGAGAAAGTAGGAGAAATCGGGTCCGAGCCGAAACCGAAAGCGTCGGATTTAAGGAACAAGAGCGCCGGAGAACAATACTTCAGGGCGGATACGCTGGATTTCAAGAAGTGGGATTTGCAGTTGGAGCAGCAGCACCAGACCTCCGGCGTCGCCTGGTCCGATGAGAAGGAACCCTCAGCGCCCGGGACGCAAGAATGGGAGATTGACTTGTCCAAGCTCCACATTAAGCACGTCCTCGCTCACGGCACTTATGGCACCGTCTATCGCGGTGTCTACGACGGCCGAGACGTCGCAGGTACGCTGACCCGCCCAGATCATCCATAGCATCTGCTATTTTTAGGAAAATTGGATATCCATGGATAATCAAACATGATATTGCCGGAGATTTTTTGTTATTGGTCTCGACCTTCCGCTTTTATATGTATACAATACGGAATTCTTACATTCCGATTTGAAAGAAAAAAAATGCAGTGAAGGTGTTGGACTGGGGAGAGGACGGTTTCGCCACGGCTGCTGAAACTGCCGCCCTCAGGGCCTCATTCAAACAAGAAGTTGCTGTTTGGCATAAGCTTGACCATCCCAATGTCACAAAGGTACTCGCTTTTCCATCTGTTATCAACTCTATTTTTGCATCTTGGCCAATGTCATTTACTTTGTTTAAAGTTCATCGGAGCTTCAATGGGAACCTCCAATCTGAAGATCCCTTCTAGCGGCCGCGAGCATCCGCTTCCATCGAGGGCCTGTTGTGTTGTTGTGGAATATGTCCCCGGTGGCACGTTGAAGAAGTTCTTGATCAGGAACTACAGGAAGAAACTCCCCATCAAAGTTTTGATGCAGCTTGCTCTGGATCTTGCTAGAGGGTAACTGCAATATCTCTTCCTTCTCTTTCTTCTTCAAAGCATTCTAAATTTTGAAACTTACAAATGCCAAAATAGATTAACATTGACAATGTGATCTCTCATGTCCTTCAGCCTGAGTTATCTTCATTCCAAAAAGATCGTACATAGGGACGTGAAGACGGAGAACATGTTGTTAGATACCAACAGGACACTGAAGATTGCTGATTTTGGCGTTGCTCGAGTTGAAGCTCAGAATCCCAAAGACATGACCGGAGAAACTGGAACCCTCGGGTACATGGCCCCAGAAGTAGGCGACTCTGTTTTTTTTATACATAATTTAAAGAGCTGAGATTTAACATCTGGAGCAGGCAGGCTCTTGGATCATAAAGTTTGTGTCTTTGTTATGATGTTGTGTGTAAAGAAAGTGGGTCTTTGTTCGCTGAAAGGTGCTGGACGGGAAGCCTTACAACAGGAAATGCGATGTATACAGCTTTGGGATATGCATGTGGGAAATATACTGTTGTGACATGCCATTCGCTGACTGGAGCTTTGCGGAGCTTTCTCACGCGGTTGTTCATCAGGTTGGTTCATCTCCCCTCTCATGTAAAGAATTTGACCCTCTTTTGGATCTGAAGAAACCCTCCTTTTGTACGTGCCAAGAATGTGAGACCGGAGATTCCAAGGTGTTGTCCGAATGCGGTGGGGAGCATAATGAAGAAATGCTGGGACCCGAGTCCAGACAAGCGGCCGGAGATGGAGGAGGTGGTGGGGCTCCTTGAGGCGGTGGACACCAGCAAAGGGGGCGGCATGATACCTCCCGACCAGTTTCATGGCTGTGCCTGTTTCTTCAAGCCTCGTGGCCCCTGATCCAGATTCATCGCCTGCTTTGATATATGTATGCTTTTAAGGTTGCCGTGTTGTTGTTCCGTCTGTATTTCCCGTGACCGTGAGAGTATTGTTAATGTTACGATTGTACATCCGTCTGTGTATAGTGGTAACAGGTTTTGTGCTTTTCTTTTCAACAAGAGAGTTGGAGCAAAAATGCCTCTACGGTGTAATGCCGTCTTCTTTCTAGCTCCTCAGATCTCGCTTCCTGTCTGTGCGTAATGCCGAAGCCGTGGGCTTTTCACTCCTTCATCCCTCTGTCTCAGAAAGCGGACTATGATCGGTATGTCAACAAGTGCAGGGGTGTTGTTTAGATAATATTGTTAGGCCCCTCTCTAGTCTTCCCTTCCCACCATATGATATGTGTACAACTCTTTGTTCTTGTTTTTTTTTTGTTTCATTAAATGGAAATATAGAGCAGAATAATCTCATACCAATAGTATTTTATCTAGTTTATTTAACAATTGATGGGTTGTCCGACTATAAAAATTTCAAGTTTGCTGTTTGTTTGGTTTATCTAATACATAATTTTATTTAACAAACACGATTGTCATGGCTTCGATTCCACTATTCAATAACCATGTCGTTTTTTGAGTGGTTTATCCATTTCATATAGTTTGCATTTGCATGCTATGTCAACTTTTGTAACAGACTTTGTAATTTTTTTGCGGATAGGAATACAACAAACATATTTTATCAAAAAAAAAATATTGTATCCGAGTATTTAAAAACATATTTAGACGACTTTCTACAAGTTCCGGCCCAACGAACGAAGATGTTAATGATAATAGAGCAGAATAATTTACATTTTTTTGTTGTTGTTGAGACTTGATATGCGATTATAAAATGTGGCAGAAGTAATTATTTGATTCGGAAGCGGATGAGAAAAGGACTTGTTTCCCAAATTTAATTTCAGGGTCGGGCCTATATATATTAAATGCTTATCCAACCTGCAAGAAAGACATCAGTTACCTTGTCCCGAGGGAAAACAAAAACAAAACCCTATAAGTACATTACATTGCAAATATTCGGGAATTAATTAACAATAACACTCACTACAGGGATTATACGAAAATTCAATGCTCATATGATTCTGTTCGAGATATATAAAATTCGCAACTGACATCGTAAATCCTATCGAATTTAAAATCCCATGTAGTGATATTTGGATTTCCATTATTATGCACAAATCAAGTGGGTGTAAATGGAAATGGAGATGTGAGGAGGGATCGTGAGAATTAAACGCATGGCTTAGAGTGGCGCCACGTGTAAGGGTCATGCAATCCGATCATTATCTCAAAGGTGTATTGAAAGGGAGGGATTAGACATAAATCCGCAGAAGTTACGAGATTGGAGCACAGAATATAACTGGGGAATGCATTTGAACGAGCAACGTAACAATTCATTTGGGTGTGTCAATTAATAAAGATTAAGAAAGAAGACAGAGCCGCTAGAGTAGGCAGAGGCTTCCAAAGCTAGTGTGTGTTTTGAAGACTGTGGATGAAAGAGAAGCTTTCACTTTATGATATATATTTGTATGTGCATCATCATGTGGTGATACATCAACTAGCAACACCGAGAAAAGAAAACCAACCGGTAAAGCCCGCTCGTTGATGTTTGTAGAGTCGAATTGCTCTGTTTCTCCACCACCACTGAGAGATGACAGTTTCTTGAGCTTCTGCTACACCTGCAAGAAGAATCTCGACCAAAAACACGACATTTATATATATATATATATATATATAGGTCCATCCCTAAACTATCAGATACCTGAGGCCTTGCTTGCTCTACTCCCACTTTGTTATTTATGAACTAAAACTAGGCTGGGTGGCAGATTTTGCAAGTTTCATTTGGGCCGCTGAGCAATATAGTCCATATTCAGTTGAACTTGTATGCTCACAACATCTCTAATTGATTTGCTCGGTGAGATCTAAAAACTCAATTCAAATAATAATATACCAATCATTATTGTTGGGAGCCTGTAACATTCGAGCGTAATAATAAAAATAAACTAATGTGTTCACGTGTGATATGGCCTCACCGTGCATCCAAGGGCTACTTCGAGCTTCGAGTCATCTGCCCTTCGTCTGGCACGTGTTCATTTACATGCCAACCAACGTGTCCAAGGCATGTTCCAAAGTTACACGCAGGAGAGCGTGAGATGGAACAGACGAAGCAAAGATGGAATGGTCCAAGTCAGAGACGGTGGAGAAGTCTGTCTCAGGTTCTCCAACGGAGTCCGGCGCTCGCATCCGGAGACAAGCCGTAGAGTCCGTCACGTCGTTCGGTGGGCAGGTATATGAATCTCTTCGTATTATTCATTCATTCGGAACAACTGAGCACTGGAACATGTGTGTGGAAGCAGTTTATGGGGCCGGTGGAGCAGATGTCGTCAGCGGCAAAGGCACTGGTGGGAAGGTCGACGACATTGACCGAAGCCCTGAAAGCGGCATCTATGAGGGTGGGCCGTAAGCCCGTCGAGGCTTCTGACGCCGCCGCCATCAAGGTGGTCGAATCTCTGGCCACCGGAACACAACCTGAGGCTGCCGGAGGTATCTCCGCCGTCGCTGAAGACGCGGCGTCTCGTAACATGAAGGTTGGCGTTGGGGATGAGGTTGGCGGCATAACTCTCTCCGACATCATCGCGGTGAGGATACGTTTCCTCCATTTCTTTATCTTTATTTTTACTGGATTAAGAACTGAGCGGGAAGACAGGATGTTGACAACAAGCTGGAGAGAGATAGATCAGTGACGAGTGAAGACGCCGAAGCGGTGGTTGCGGCGGAGCTGAGGCATCACCCCGGCAGCAGCACTACTCCCGGCGGCATCGCCGAGTCTGTCGTCGCCGCCTGCAAGCTTAACCGCAACCCCTACTTTTAAACGTTTTTCTTTAAATTAAAAAAAAAAAAAAAGATGATTCTTTTAAAGATAACAACCTTAGAAATAAAAGATAAAGACAATCAAGAACTAACAATCTTGTAGTTAAAAGATAAAGACAAATAAACAATAAGGTAATAATAAATCTAAATAGATATGGACGTATGTATATAAAAGAAGTATGAAGGCTGAAAAATACAGAGTTTAACATTTTGAATTCCAACTACATTTCGAATTCCATAAGAAGAGAGAAAGTATGGTCTATTGCCATGTTTTTTTTTTTCAGCATTCAACGAGATGAGATCGGTTAATCAATTTAAAAATACCCGAATTTCGGGTTCGGGTTCGGGTATTAATTTCTAGGTCGGGTAAGAAAATAGATCAAGTTGAAGCTGGTGGTTCCTCATCTCTCCCAATCGCTGTGGTGCCCGTTTATGGATCCTCATACCTGAGATATCTAAAGTATCTGATATGAGGAGTGACGTGTCTTGACTGCGTCAAACGTCGTCTTTAACCGGATGATTATAACGGCGTGCTACCCTCACAAAAGAAGCAACATCGTTGTGTTCGCAAAACAGACTAGTTTGGCTGAGACAGGAATAACCAGATGGTCTGCCGGATGACTATTCCGCCGGTCGGAAAATTTCCGGCCACGGTTCATCGAAAATTTCAGTGCCGTCGGATTTACGCACTGAGCAGTCCCGTATGGTCTGGCTGCGAACCGTCGGCTGTTGGCGGACTGCTCGAGCTGCTCTCGCAGCGAGAGCGGGTCGCTGCGTGCCGGCCGGGGGACGGACTGGGAACGGCTCTCTCGGGAGATCGTAGGACTGGTTAGGATTGTGTTGGGGGCCATGTAGACTCGGTGTTGTAGGTCTGATTAGACGTAATCAGATTCGATTCGATTCAGATTCGGTTCAGTTCGTTTTTACCACAAAATTATAACTCAATGGTTAAATTTGGTTCTAGCCAAGCGTAGAAGTTTCCTTAAGAACCGTTCCCCATTCGCAGGAATATTACCAGACCGGACGGTCCAGGGGTGGCGGACTGCACAGATCAGAATGGAAGGTCCGCACTGGACCGTCCGTTTCGTCTGCTACGGACCGTCCGTTTCGGCTTGTCTCGGAGTGGAACGTCCGTTCTGGCTTCTGAAGTCGAGAGCGACCGTTCTGACAAGCCTGGAACGTCCATTCTGCATCCAGAACGGACGATGCGCAGTGTCTTGGACGGGACGGACGCAGTTTCTCGGACCTATGCGAGATTTCTCAGACCAGCATGTGCGTAAAATCGAAAATAATAATTTTCTGGTTCTACAACCCATCCGAGAACAAGGTGTTTGTTGCTCGGAATGGATCTTTTAGAGTCTTTCACATTTTTCATCCTGCATAAACCACGGATAACATCAGAAAACGGCTTGATTCCTTGTCTTCTACCTTCTCCGACTAGTATGATGTGTGATAGATAATCATGGAGATGATCATGGGTATTGGATACGATCACAATCATAGGTATTCGTTGGAGAACGGAATTGGTCCGTGTTTCAAGACGGGCCGAATGGGGAGCCCACAGGCCGACACCAGGAGCACGCAGATGTCGAAGCATCTTAAGGGATAAAACCCATCAGATGCATGTGGATCTTCAAGAAGAAGACCGACATGGATAGCAACGTGCACACGTATAAGGTGCGACTTGTGGCGAAGAGATTTCGTCACGCATGGCTCATCTTCGTTTTGCAGGAAGCCAAACGTTTTGACTGCCTCGTCAAAACGAAGATTACAGCTCCTCGAAGCCTGCTTCAGTCCATTTACCTGAGGCAGAAGCTTCACCAAGCTTCTTATCCTCAGATCCTCCAAATAAAGGTGAAAATTACGCTTCCAGTGTCCAGACACTCCGCAGTAATGACAGGTGGAACGAGATCTGATGGAAAAAATGGCGCAACATGTGCAACCGGGTATTGCATTAGAATTCATCAAACAAAATTTCGTTGCTAACTCCTGTAGCAACGCAATTTCGTTGCTATGTTGCTGGCTAAGGATGTTGCCACTTGGTTCTGGGCAGAGGCCATGAGCACGGCGTGTTACTTGATTAATCGGATTTATACTATCTCCATATGATTCGTGAACGTATCTGATCAACGTCGTTATAATCATCCGGTTAAAGACGACGTTTGACGTAGATGGAACACATAATCAAATGTGTAGAAATATTTGAGAAGACCATATGCTTGACGTCTTTTAACTGTATCAGTGTCATCATTCTCAACGTACTCAAGCACCTCAATGACAGAAAAAAATAACCCAGCCAAGGGGGGGTGTGACAGAGATAGGTGAAGGATAGAAGGCCTTCGGACTAACCGGGAGGCTGCCTTGGACGGACCAAGGGAGGGTGTCGGACGGACCAACGACGGAAACACAAAACTATTATATTTATTCGTATATGATCACGAACAAATTCTATTCGAGATATGACTTGTATATCCGGAATAGAGATTTCGGACTATACTGCTATATCGAATGATCCTACACACGCAGGGATGCCTGAACGGTGGGGCTATCAGTTGGAAGAGTTCCAAACAGCCAACCGTGGCAGATTCGACTACAGAAGCCGAGTACATAGCATTGCAGGTCCCATGTCTAGGCCCAGTGAGCGGTTTGCCTGATGTTGCAAGGCTCTCCCTCAAGTGTACCTCACGTTCTCTCAGATAACTCTCACCAGTGTTTCCCGTACAAACAATTTCACCAAGATTACAGACTCACTCTCTCAATCACTATGATCTTAGAAAACCGAATGTTTCGGAATTGAACCGAATTTTAAAAAATCCGAAAAACAAATTTTTTAAAAGAAAATCTATCTTTTTTTAATAAAAATCAGAACTGAAACCAAATCGAATCGAATATAATATAAAATCCGATTGATACCTATTTTTGTAAAACCGAAAAAATTGAACCGATACATTTCCGTCACGAACCCATCCCCTCTTGTAATGTGATCGTATACCGTTCGCGTGTCGTGATATGGGCTTGATCCATGCACGTAACCGTGTCTTTGTGTACGTGTTCGATGTATAAATACAAAATGTGTTTGCTTTGTTAGACGTATATTTCTGGTTATGTCCAAATACAAGTTGTTGTTGTTTTGGAGAAGATGCATCTCAGTTGTTACAATGGCAAACATGTAACCAGTGCAGCTGAATCCATATCGCTATTCGGAGATTATTTCTTCAAGTAGTGTCGTTATTCATTGTTTGAAACATTTGTGTTAAGAAAGCATAAGCTTCATTCGAGATAAAGCATGTCCAAGCCCCACGATCACATGCATTGTAAAATTCGTAGGAATGCGATAAAAATATCCACCGAAGAGGCCCACGCGTCAAATCACCGTTTTGGCCCACAAGATGTTACACGAATCGAACCTGTCTAAAGCAGACGACACTTGCCTGTAAATAAATAAACAGTGACGAATCAGATAGAAACTACACAGTGTGTACTTTCACCGCTATGTATATATATACATCTCAATTCTTCTTCTCCATCATAGATGACAGGAAGGGGGCCCCACCCCCCACCCCCACATATTTCCGCTGACTACCGTACATTGTACTGTCCACATACTTCCCCAATTGGCCCATCAGGACCCCCCCAGTGGGAACAAAATAATTGCTGGCGGTGAATATATATATATAGATTCATAACAGACGGCCAATGAGGCAATCATGTTCGTATCTTTCAAGTAGTAACTAAGTGGATTCCTAATTAAGCTCAAACTTGTTCACTGTCTCTCTTCGATTTTCTCATTGCATATCTCGTTATCTATTACTGCCAACAACTTATTCTATCAATTGAAGGTGGGCATGTGTTCCAAGAGGTCTTTTGTATAGCATTGGATTCCACCACAGCCTACACTCCCAACACCATACATGTGTGTATACACATATATATACATTTGTTTGCCCTTAAGATTCTCCCTTTTACATTTCCTTCCGGACCATATATGCATCTCAAATCCAATATATAGTACATGTTTTTGTGCATCTTCCTTTTTTGTTGTCATTATAAAAAATATATTTCATTCCGCGTTAAACTACAATCCTCCATATGTGTTTAAATTTACCTAATTTTTAGTTACAAAGTTGACGCTTTTAACTATAAAAAAAGGTTTAATATCAACGAAACCTTGAAGTATATACTCTTTTTTTTTTACAATGCGTCTTTTTTCCTCTAACCATGGGGAAACGATACTTAAATGTTAGTAATTGCTTAGGTTTTTATCTTTGATCGAAACTTCAACCGCATTTTGACTTGATGAACGAAGAGAGTGAGTTGGTCAACAGCAGCTTTCACGAGCTTTGACTTGGACGGCTACGCGACACGTGTCACTCTTATCCGTGCAGTGGAGTAATTTATAGTGGCACGTTTAAAAGAAACAGATCGGCAGAAATGAATGTGGCGTCGATTCTTTACTGTCCCGTACGTGTTTAGAAAAACTGTCCCTTGGTCAGCACATTTCAGCATGGCCTACTCAGTAACCGCATCCAAATTTAATTACCATCGAAACAAATTAAAATCAGACATTTTCTATCAATTGTTGGGTTATATTATAAGCAAATTTGTTGCCCTTCTGTCACATGTTACATTAATTGTTCGTTCCACACCTGAGCTGAGACGTCGCTTAGTCTTTAAATCTACTAACAAGTTATTCTACTTTTTTTTTGGAGTGGGGAAGGGCAAAATGGTAAATAAAACAGGGAAACGGGTGCAGAGAGAGTGCGTATTCGTCGGAGTAACTCGAGACTTCCGCGCCGACACCCATTCCATTCTGACGGAATTTAATTCATCAAACGTGTGTGTTGTTTTTTTGTTTTAAAAAAAACAATGGAAAACGAAAACGGCACGCATTTTGTGGGGTAGTTGGGGCGGACTTCAAATATCTTCTCTCTCAAAATTCCTTTCTTCACTCCTTTTTCCTTTATATACATATAAATATATATATATATATGTATATTACAAAACTCGTAGGTGCATAGAAGCTTCCTAGACGACGGTGCTCGTTTTCTTCTCTTCTATTATTCTCGATCTGTATATATAAATATATGGTCTATTTATTTATTCATAATCTTAAGTTGTTAGGGAAATTCGTAAACCATGCATCTATTCAACAAGTGTTTCATACGCCCTGTGCAAAAATATGCAGAATAATGATGCTGTTTCTGGTTGCTGCGTTAATTCCCAAGTTATGCATACTCCTACGTACCCATGATTTTATGTAAAACAAAAAAAAAATAGTTCCCTAATCATTCTGCTGATTAATCTGTTAATATATATAGACCGGAAGAATTGGAAATTCAATTTGATTTAGTTATTGCTTTCTGCCCGACCAACCGTGTCGTTGAATTTTATAAAATTCATTATTATCCGATGAATATTACCCTCGTGTTCGGTGGGTTGAGACGTGTATTAATAAATAGAACAGGGATTAGTACAATTATTTGGGATTACACACCGACCAGCAGAATGCCACGTTCGGATAGAACTCGTTAATCTATTTGGACACGTACGTAACTCCGAGACGTTCTCTTTTAAATTTGGCTCGTCCGTTGGAAATCTCGTATTTTAATGCCACGCGTATTTATTTAATAGATTGGAACACATCACTGTTTTTAATGGCAGACAAAGGAGACGACCGATTCAGAGAACCAGTAGTCGACTTTTAAATAAAAATTAATTAACAACTTCAAGATAACGCATAATTATGGAAAACAAATATTAATTAGAATTCCCAGTGTCGTTTTGTTGGGCAACTATGGATGATTACCCCAAATAATGTTCGTGTGTATATATATATATATATATATATATATTCTACATCTAAAATATATTTTTCTTTATCATTTCTCTTTGTCTACATATTTCAAAAATGTTTTAGTTAAAAAGAAAAGGGTTTATTAAGTATATCCTATATATATATATAATGCGATTACTTCTGCAGAATTGTAGATTAAGGTTCCAAGGGACAATTAATATATGAAAAAAAAACAAATCAATGTATGAAGTTGAAATGATTACGTGGTCATCATCAAAGTGAACAGAACCTC